CCGTGCCGCTCAGAACAGCGTGTCGGGCTCCACGTGCAGCCCAACACGCTGCCGCGCTCCCCCGCGGAGCGCATAGCCCGGTTCCTGCCCTCGCAGAGTGCTGCGAAGCGGCGCGCTGGGCAGGGGGAGGCACTCCAGACTGCCGGAGGCCCGATGCGAACGGCCGGCCGGCTGCGAATGCAGGGGGGAGGAGGGAGAGAGAGGAGGGCAATGATCTCAGCTGCAGGGGAGAGGAGGGGGAAGCGGAGGAGGGGCAAGTGGCACCATCCGGCCGGCTGTCCTGTCAGCTGCGCGCACTCTGTATGGGGGGGGAAATCTGGACATTTACAAATCCCCCCCGGACGCTATTTTTAACTGAAAAAAGCCGGACATGTCCAGGGGAATCCGGACGAATGGTAACCCTAGCCTATGGAGGAAGCTACCTCGGTCTCCAAGCAGTTGTCTGTGAACAGCCCTGTGTGCTGGGACAAGGGAAATGAGACCCCAAGCTGTGTGTCTGTTAAAGGGGAAGGTTTCTCCAGCTTTTCTTTGTCTGTGGAGCAGACAGAAGGGGCCTTTCAGCCTGTGATGGTTGAGGGTAGTGCAGTTGTCTCAGAGTTGGTTCTGGATTCAACTAACACCCAGAAAGGGAATGGTTCTAAATTCTGTCTGCTAGGGAGAGTGACACTGTAACTAGGTTGGATCCAGTTAGTGTCCTAACAAAATCCCAGAGACCAAATGACTGGGACTGTTGCTTTGCCTGTTGCGAGTGTGTTGCTGGGAAAGGTAATTTGATTGTGTTGCTCACTGACAGTGTGGAAACTTGTAACCAGAAGGAAATGATTCCTGAACTTGTGTGTGTGTTGAGACTGACAACTTGTATATTGCCTAGTCAAGGCACTGAGAGAATTTCTCTCCTGTGTGGAGGAGTCTCTGATGTTCAGTGTGGTGTTAGCTCCAACTGAAGCATTTTCCAGGCTAAGGACATCTGAGAGGCTCTTCCCCTGTATGGACTTGCTGATGCTTGATGCCATGTGAGCACCAAATGAAGGTACCCCTTCAAGCTCTTTCTTGTGTGAATTATCTGATGGGGAATAATGTGTGAGCTCAGACTGAATCTTTTCCTGCAAGTTATTGAAGCTTTTCTTGCATTCCAAGTGTTTATGGGTTCTCTCTCTTGTGTGGGTTGTCTGATGTGAAGCAAGGTTTGATTGTCAATGAAACTATTCATAGATACAGTACCATGTGGATTCTAAAATGTTTAGGACGGTATGAGCCGGAACTGAAGCTTTTCCCATCATACAAGCATTTATGGGGTCTCTCTCGTGTGGATTGTCTGATGTATATTAAGATTTGAACTTTCATGTGTTGTCAGATGCTACCGGGGTGGTGCTTCTGCTTTCTCCTGTTGATATCACTCGGCTGCGTGCGTGTGTTCCCTCTGTGTGCTGCCCCAGCTCTGCGCAGATAGCTGACCCAGCAAACCCGACGAGAACCCCCAATGACCACAGAGTCTAGTAAGGTACAAAGGCACCTCGGCCAGGTTTATTGCGACCCTGACACAATTTCAGTTCCCCGTAGATTACTTAGTCTACCGGGCATACTGCTAGAAAGTGCCGCTCGGCAATGGACTCAGCTTAGTCAGTGGCGGGACTTTCCACTGCCCCCTCCGCTGGACCAAGACACCACCCCAGGGATACATTTTTATACACAGGTACAAACAAGTTACACATCACTCCTGACGTATTGAGGTGCAACCCCTTCACGTAGCAAGGTGCAACCTCCCTACGTGGTAAGGTGCCGCCTCGCACCTTTTACCTGTTGGTTCGATCAAAACAACTCTATCCATCATTTTACCCTTTTGCCCCTGTCATTGGGATGGGTTGGCCTGTTCCATGTTATCTGTGGAATGTTCCGGTATAGTGTGTCTTGGTACCATGTTTATACTGTAACTATGCTAAGTGGATATATATTTATGCAACATCAGCCCTTTCCTTGCCAGCTTCTGTGAGCAGGGCCTGCCTCTTGCTCACAGCTTAACTTTGCTTTATGTTAGCAAAGTCTTGACCATTACTTTAGTTCAGGCCCCAGGCCTCATACTGAGCCTTTATCAGGGCCTTCACTTACTACATCATGGAGGCTTTCCCACAGTGCAGGGTGGGCAGAAAAGTTTTGCTACACTGCAACATCGTCAAAGGGCCACAGCGGCCACATTTCAGGTCGGAATCTGGGATAAGGTTGGTTTGACTCAGGTATACATGCTGCAGGGTGGACACCAGAGCCCCAGATTTGAGCCTACGTTAGAAATATCTTAATGTAAAGTTAAGAAACAGTGTAGATGCTCAAGCCCAGGGTTCTCCAACCTGGGCCACCTGACTCCAGATCCAAAAACCCTGGGCTTACATTGCATTGTAGACAATCCCAGAGTGACATAGATGCATATCCTCATTAGTGTTCGATGACACAACCAGTTCAGGAGAAAAAAGATTCCATGACTATCTTCAAAAATCACATCTGGAAAATGAAAGGGAAATCAACAAGGAAACATTTTTATAAGCTTTATTTACATTAAGTAAATGACAGGCTTAAAGGGAACTGGGAGGGAACTTTCATAACCAGACCATGTGGTAAAAACACCCAAAATTTTGAAGTATTGTTCTGAAAGGCATTAAAGTGGAAATATTGCAAATGAACACTGGGGAGGAATTAATGAGCAGAGGTGAAAATGGGCTGGTGCGGGCCGGTATAGTGTACCGGTGAGAACTGGCTGCCGGTACCGGCCCGCACACGGCCGATGTTAAAGCACTGCTGCTTTTGCTCCCCCGCATCGGCTGCCTGGCCATGAAGGGCTGGCTGGGGGAGTCTGATCCCCAGCCCTGCCCCTTCCACCCAAGGTCCCGCCCCTTCCGATGGCCAGAGCCACCCCCCCACCTTGCCCAGGAGGGACCCGGGGTACCAGTAAGTCCCTCTGCTTATTTTCACCCCGTTAATGAGTTACAGTCATACATTCAGAAAGATTTTATAGATCTCCCTCTCGTGTTTTCTTCCCTTCTCCCTTTTATTTTATTTCATCCAGTTTTGCACATCATTTTAGCTAACGCTTGTTTTCCATCCATTTATTTCTCTGTCTGCCCCTAAATCTCTTTTATTCCCTATCACAGATCATTCCAACTCAGGTTCCCAGTTCTCTCCCTGATCTTATCCCTTCCTCTCCCTTTGCCCCAAGCTTCTCCAGTTTCAGGATTGTTTTCTTTCATTCTTTTCACATTAGTTCCCTACCCCTCTCGCCTTGCCCCAGGTTTCTCTATTTATTTTTGTTTTACTTAATTTGCCCCTCCCCTTTGATTTCTTCTCTCCCTTCTGATTAAACCTGCTCTGTAACTGCCTCTCCCCTCCCTGCAGCCAGCTCACCTTCATCCAAATGACATCTCCTCCCATGTCCCTCCCCCCACCACAGCATCCTGTCCCCTGGGGCCTGGAGGGCACACTTGACAGTTCCTGGGACTGGGTCTCTATCTCCCAGGCTCCCTGCTGGGGCAGAGTATTCA